TTTATCTACCCATGTTTTAAAACTTGTAGGATCAACTAGAGCAAGGAATTATCAAAGATCTTTAAGGAACTGTGATTTGAATAATTTTAAAACTATACAAAGAACAGTAATAGCACATGTCTTAAGGTATTTAAAAATTGGAAAAACCAGATAATGTTTCCAGCAAAATAACCAGTCACAGTGAGATAACTTAAATAGAAACTAAAGGGGGTGGTGGTGTATTTTTGAAGGGGCTTTCTAAAGCTACTGTTCCAAAGAAAGATTGGGTGGAGAGGGAAAGGGGGAAGAACTAGAACAGGCTTCAATGCTCAACAGAAAAAATTTTAAGAGATAGGAGGAACAAAGTTTCCTTTGGGTAGTTTCCATGCTGGCGGTGTAAAACACAACCTCCCGGTGTAGGTGAGGGATTATGGCAGAAGTGCATATCGCAAATCCTGCAGTCAAAATTTAACAGCCCTACACTGTGGAAATAATTCTTAAATTGGGTCTCAACAAGCACATTACAAAGCTAAAACGTCAGTGTGGAGATGTACAAAAGTGAAGTATATGTAACCATCAGGCTTTCCACAGACTGGTCTGTAACAATAGATAATGTGGCAGTTTGTCCTCCAACACTTACAGGAGTTTTGTTCTTAGCTGCATGTTGTAATCTTTGGCTTGGCTTCACAAGGAATTTCCTTAGGGAAGGGCTTCTGGACCTGCTGACATCTAGTGTGAGAGATCATAGTTATGGCTGTAGTGAACATACCATAGGAATGCTATCTCTTACGCACTTTTTTCTGCCCAAACATTCATTGGGTTTCACTCTGGAAATGAGCTGACTCATGAGCTCCATCTGTACCTCGCATCTTTTCAGCCCATGCCTCTATTCAGTCAAGAAGAATCCTGTTGCTGTCCTCAGAAGTGGCTCACAGGACAAAATGGGGAAAACAGGAAGGAATGTTTTGTTTTGTTTTAAATAGGGAGGTACACTATGTACTATAGATTCAAAAGCGCTGAATAGAAGAGCCACTAAATGCTTTATTCTGGCACCACTGCCTGTGGTGATGTTACTCTGTTAGGATGAATAGGCTAATGTTCAGTAGTTGTCTCTATTTCATTTTAAATTTGTTTAAGAGCATCTCTTGTAGGTACGCTGGAGCTACTGATGAAAAGGACCAGAAACATCACAGTACAAAATACAGTGGCTCCTGTGTATAGTAGGCATTGACTGCATTTTCTCTGCAAGTTGTTCATGGACTACAAGGCAAAGGGATTTGAACCTTGTGGTCTGAGAGAATACCCGTTCCAGTATGCGTCCTGTCAATTTGCTGAGCGACTGTGGCATCTGTTCAGAAGTTAAATTCCACACCTGTTGGCATACTGCTCTCTGAAGAGAGAACATATTTCTGTTAACTCTTCAAAACATACCTTTGCCGTAGTTTCATACCTACCATAAGATAGCGTAAGCCTTGGGGGGGTGCTTACATTGCAGCGAAGTCGATAGGAGAGCGAGCTGCTGCCAGAAGAGGCACTCCTGCTCCTCCTCACACTCAGCTGGGTGCTCGAGTGTGTTGGATCCAAGACCTGAGTAACGACACAGTGAGTTGGTTCAGCTGGATTCTGTGGCAGGACATTAACCTTGTCACTAAACCCTAAAACTTGATAGGACAAAAATACTGTTTTCTCATAGTCCAAGTAGGATAAGAGGTGTTTTAGATGAATTACATCTACAGCCATCACAGGTTATTTGCATATGTAGGACTTAAGTAGTCTTGATTCTTTGTCGAAATGTACAAACAATTTGAGTGTCCTTCAAATACAGTGATGTGTCCTGTGGATTTGAAAAAGCAGTTGGTAGGTGTTCTGAAGCACTGAAGGACCTACATGTGTCTGAATTAGTACGTCCAAAATCCGTACCATCAATTTCTCTAATGAACAAGTGCTGCTAGGTAGGCAGTTTTAACAGCTATAAAGTAGTGTTCTAGTTTGAAACTGTTTAACTCTCCTGAAGCTTATGAAATAGTTGCACATTTTTTGTTGGATAAAGAAACACAGAATTACATGCATTTGGAGACCTTTCTAAACAGTCATGATGTCAACTTGCAGAATAAAGGGTGCTGCTGCATCTTTCTTCTTGGACACTTACTGATTCTGCGGCCCTTCAACCCTGGGAATGTCGATCTACTGTCATACTAGTACCAGTTATTTACTTATTTTACAAGTACATATTCTGACTCTGATATAGCTGTTTGTAACATAGAAAGGTTTGTGGTGTGAATTTAGTTCTTACATATACATCTGCTTGACACTAAACATCTTGGTTGTGCTGGTTTTGGTTTTATCAATGTAGTTGTTAACTAGTTTGAACCAATAATTATAAATATAGCATAAAGAGAATTAAATACAAAGTTAGAAATTCACATTTTGTACTTATGCTGTAAACCAAAAGAACTAAGTATCTTGGTACTGAGGACTGAGTGTTACTGTCATCATTTTGAAACCCAGGCTGTGCTGTCCTGCCTTTCCATGATGAGTGACAGAAACGTGCTTCTGTCCTACCTGCCTGAAAAGGTACAATTCTGTGCAGAAGGTACAATAAATAAACCAGGAAAAAGTAATTCCTGCGGCATTATCAATGCGCACATTTTGGGTATTCACCTTCTCTCTGTTCAAGACTATTAACTCAAAATAGGTTGGCTTTTTACCTCTGTTAAGTTCTGGGTGCTGAATTTGACCGAACAAAGAAGATCAGCACTATTTCCCGATCCCCTTCCTTCCTCCCAGGATTGCCAAAGCCCTGATACCTCGTACAGTGTTAGCGGGGTAACCTGGGGGGAGGCTGAGGACATCAGAGAAGATGTTGTGGGTCACACGGAAGGTCTCCCTCGCTCAGGCTCTGACCGTAACCAAGACCAGTCCCTAGGGAAAACTATGGGAATAGTGTGAAAGTAATCATTTTAATCTGCTTTATAGCAAAATTTTCACAATCTTTGAAATGATTTAGTGTATTAGGGCAGCTGTTTTCTTTTACACTTTGAATAGTTAAACCTCAGAAAAATTCCTCAAGGTGTCTGCTTGTAAAATGTTTCTAGAAAAAAACAAAAAGGATAAATATATAGAGTTTCTGGATCTTCTGGCTTCTCCTTGTGTTCCAGCAGTTCAGTACACACCCTTATACTCCAGCCTTACAGAAGTTCAAGTACAGTGTATAGTCTCAGTTCATCTTCACCACCAGTTTCTGTATTTGTGGTAAACTGCTGCCAGTAAGAGCCCAGTTAAAGAACCCGGGGTTTGAAGCATCTTTCTGCTGGAAGCATGTGCTGACATTCAGGGGGTACCTGACCTATGAGCATGGAGAACGGTTGCAAGGACACTTCCTCCCAGATGAGGGACTATCACATCATGTCTCCTAAGGATTCCAACTCAGAGGGGTGTTTCTGCTGGAAGCTTGGGCTGATTAGTGCGGTTTCCTGAACCAGACTTCACAGGAGTGATTTGTCCCCTTGAAGTCCATTTCAGAACAGATAGAAAGATTGGACAATTTAGACCCTCCTAGGAATTTCTGCTCTCATTGTAGCAGATCTGGAAAGTGAAGAGGGATCATTAGGTCCCTGGTAAAGTTATCAAAAGTTAAATTCTTGTATCTTTCCCAGGAAGCATCCTGCATTTTGCAGCTAGGGTTTCTGGGCTAATTGATCTACAAACTCACTAGCTACAAACATCAGATTAAAAATCAACTTGTTAACTAGTCAGTGGTTATCTACAGATTTGTGAAGAAAAAAGGCTTCTTTTTTGGGGAGAAAACCTGGCTTTTCTAATTGAAACAATTGTATTTCAGGAGTTGGTTTTGGTAGTTTCCATCAGAACCCTTCCTTGCGTGAGCTGTCAGGATAAAGGTGCTAGTGTTCTTTTAATGTCTTGATGGGTTTTTTGCTGGGGGTGTGTGTGGTTATTTGGTTTTGGCTTTTGCTATGTTGAATTGTTGCTGTCAGTGCCGGGAGGTGGACAGTTGAAATGCAATTTAAAGAAGTGCTTACTTTTAAACTGGGCAAGTGTAACTTCAACATGGGTGAAAACTGGAGCTTATACTTTGTAAATTTTCTTCTGTATGATGTGTATCAATTATTTACTAACATTAGAAAAAAATATTAAAATGGAAAACTTGAATGTTGTGAAAGGGGTGGTTTTGAGAATGGTGGGAATTAGGTGGCCACAGCCTGAGCAGCAATATTAATGTTTAATTGTTCTGTATATCTAGAACTTAGCTAGGACCTGAATAGGAAGATCTAATAATAGTTTCTGGCAATGTCATCAGTATGATATTCATGTTAGCAACCAAGTAGATTATGTATTTAAAATTTTTAAGTGACTTCAGTGCTATGTAACTAGTCTGTCTTTGCTTGCTCCTGAAAATAAAAGAAATCTGGATGAAAGGGTTTATTAAACTTCAATAATATGAAACTTAATGCAGTTTCAAATTAATTGACTTTTATCATCAGGTCAGCCTCTGTAACAAACAGGTCTGTAAGGTGGTATGAGAATTTTTCTGTTTAAATTAAGATGTGTGTTGTATTCCCCTTTTTAAAAAAAAAAAAAAAAAGGGTGAAAGTTTGGGGTATGTTTGAAGCTTAATCATGAAATCTCACTCAGGAATCTTTTGAAGGTGGTGCCTTTTTATTTTTTTTCCCCAGTTTTCATGCATAGATTGTAAATAAAATGTTCAACCTTCAGAGCCAAAGTGGAACTCTTTAAAAAGTCTTCAGTGGGCCTCTGAGACGAGGTACTCTCTGAAGGATCAAAGACAAATTTCTTCAAAAGAACTATGTCAACCTCTGCATGGTTTTTAAAAGTACTTTTAAGCGGCTAGTGAAAGTAAATAGCTTAAATTGTCTCCTTGATAGTTATTCTCTGGAGATGTCATTTCACAGACTTTTCTTAATAGATGGTAACTGGTCTTCATGAACAGGAAGGTATGAAGTTAAGCCTTTAATATTGTATTTTCTTCTTTGTTTTAACAGCTCAAAGGGAAGAGAAGAGGCACGAAGACAGAGGAGAGCATACGGTGACATCAAAGAAAGCTCTTGTATCTATAATGGAGAAGCAGACATCTTCTGTCTCTAAAAATCTTCCTTCAAAGAAGTCCCCGTCCTTCTCTAATACGTCACTAACTAAACAACAGCCTAAACCTGCTGGAAGTTTCAAAGGTGTAATTCCCAAGAAACCTTGGCCTTCATCGGGCAGTGTTCCTTCAAAACATTCATCTCTTTCTCCTGGCTCATCAGTTCCCAAAAAACCAGCTCCTTCCTCCAGTTTGGGTGGAGGACTCAAAAAGCCTTCACTGTCTTCCATTTCTACTGCACCTGGAAGCAGTCAAGCAAAAGCATCAACTAGCCCTATGCAGTCACAACCCAACTCTCAGATTCGACAAAATATTCGACGGTCCCTAAAAGAAATTTTATGGAAGAGGTGGGAATTGAAAACACTTATTTTACATAGGAAGCTACAGCTAGCAGTAACTGTTTAGCCTGCAGAGTTTTGTTTACTTCTTGATAAGGGGCATTGAGGGATTGAATTTCTACTACAAATTACTACAAGTATAATTGGTATTTCAGGTTTATATAAAAAAAAATCCTCATATAAAATAAACGTCCATGAAAAAAAGCCTTTAAAAGCCCCCACCTCACTATTCTGTTTATTATATTAAGGCAATTACAGTTGAAGAATTAAATTACACCATAGAAGCTTTTATAATGCAGGTGCTCTGAAGTTTTAAAATCTGGTGTTGGCAGTCTTTGGAGATGGAGAGGTTGTAGGGAGCTTAGTATAGCAAATATAGTGAAAGGTTAAAGGCTTACTGAAGTAGAGATTCCTTCCCCTCCCAACATGAAAATCAATGACAAACCCTGGGTAGTATCACGGAGGAAAGAAAACAAACAGACACAAAGCAAATTGTCTCAAATGATTATTAAAGCTAACAGCAGTCATCAGTGCTTATTATAGAGCAGTGCACTCTGGTACTGCCTCTGAAATGGAAATGCTGTTCACAGTGGGAATCCAGGGCTTGGGCTCTGTGTCATTCATGGCAGAGAAACTCCGAGTGCCATGAGCAGTGTAAAGGCTGCCGGCAGGTCACACGGGCTGCTTTCAGTGGCTGCCTGTGGAGAGCAGTGGAAGGTTGCCATAGTTCACGGTTCAAGGTCCCGAGATAGACCTTGGCTTTGAGATGTCTTTTAAAGGAGTCTTGAGCACTCACTGGGTGAGGAGGAGCCTAGGTTAGCTCCTCCCTCTGAAAAGCTGGTTTTAATGAATGCCACCTGAAGATTCATGCCTAACATAAATGCACGTACACCTTTTTTGTTTTTTAACAGAGTCAATGATAGCGATGATCTGGTCATGACAGAGAGTGAAGTAGGGAAAATAGCGCTCAATATTGAAAAGGAGATGTTTAACTTGTTCCACGTTACGGACAACAGATACAAGAGTAAATACCGTAGCATCATGTTCAATCTCAAGGACCCCAAAAACCAGGTTTGGAATTTCATTAAACAGTAAACATGTATTGAAATATACTTTTGGGCTTTAATGACATGTCACACTCTACCCTCAACGTTAAGAGTTTTGAGATGGAGACTTACGGATTATACTATAAAAGATTATCATAAAGCCATTCAAATAGTTTTATTTTTTTTAATCCAGTACGAGTACTTTTGTTGGTCATGTGTATTTATTAAGTTTGGGCATTTGGTGTAAAATATTTATTGACAGAATGGATTTCTTAAAATAAATAGAGACTTTATTAATTTCTCCTCTTGTGACATTGTTTAGTATGTGTTGGATAAGGCTGATATACATGATCACATTTATGCTTTAAAAGAAAAGAACAAATGCTGGTGCAGATGAAAATACTCCCTAGAGAACACCTGAAACTACTTTTTAAAAAAAAATTTATTTCTGCAATAGATATGAAACAGGAGAGTGGCTGTTCAACTTCTGACATTCCTATTCAGTCATATTGATAGTTATTGCTGATAAGGAGGAATATCCATACTTTGTGTTTATTTCATCCTTATTTTCTGGTTCCTGCACCTTTCTAACTTCACTGATAAGTAGCTGGTATTTCTAATAGGGGAATTAAGAAACTAGAACAGGTTTTGCCTGTTCAGCACTGCAAATCTTGTTAGTTACCCAAGCAAGTTCTCTTCAGCGTGGCTATAAAGTCTGTTTTGTTTTCAGGGGCTTTTTCATCGTGTCCTTCGTGAGGAAATCTCACTGTCAAAACTAGTGAGAATGAAACCAGAAGAACTTATATCTAAAGAACTGTCTGTGTGGAAAGAGAAACCAGCTAAAGCAGTAAGTAACGTAGTTTTCCCCAATGTCCTTAAACATGAATTAAGGGCGAGTTTGCCAACCCTTACCACCCATGTTATATTAATGCACCATTTTCTTCCTAATGAAATACTAATAATGTTCAGTTTCAATATAGTTTTTCTCTACCACTAGCCAAATGATAACAAAGTATGGAATAAAATTAAAAAAAATAAATACGTGGGCTTCTTACCAAAATGGTTTTGTTTATTTCAGATGATAGAGTCAAGAAGCAAATCTTATGAAGTCAAGAAAACAGCTGTAAAATGGGAACATATGTCAGTTGTGAATATGGAAGATTCTCCGCCAGTGTCTGATTCTGATGTAAGTATTGGCTCTTGCTTCAGCATGAAGACATCGAGGGAGATAAATGGTAGCCAGGGCCTCAGATTTGCTGTTGGAAGTGCAGATTGTTTTAGTGAACTGTAAGGATATTATTACCTAGTAGGTGTGCTATGAGCATTTTTCCTTTTAGTTTGAAGGAGTGCAACAACCAAATGATAAGCATATTTTGCATGCATTTCTAAAATGTGTATTTTTCAGTCCTTGCTGTTAATTTACAGAGAAATCTTTTATTTTTGAACATTAGCTATCTACTTCAGAACGCCATGGAATGAAATGAAGACAAATGTTATGCTTTAAACAAGGCCTTTCATATTTTTTGTAAAGAACTGATGTTAATTAACAGTTTCCAGATTATTTTTGATGGTTGAAATTAATGATCAACTGGAATATTATTTGTGTTTATTCATTTTTAGGAGCAGCAAGAGTCAGCCCGATCTGCACCAAATTTAAACAGCGCTCCTCCTTTAGATGTTTTTAGCAGTATGTTGAAGGATACAACAAGTCAACATCGAGCCCATCTTTTTGACCTGAACTGCAAAATCTGTACAGGTATCTACAGTGCTGACTTTGTGCAAAGTAAAAAAAAAACTTTGTGCAAAAGTTGTGTTGAGAGTGTTATTTGTTTGTTGAAATGTTTTTCTCTTCAAACTATTTAATTGTTAAATAGTAATCAAAAGTTCTTAAAATAAATTTATAGGTCAAATTTCGGCATCCGAAGATGAAGTACTACCTAAAAAGATGAAGTCAGCGGCCCCTGCTAAAAAGGTGGAGTCGAAATCAAAACCAGAAGTTCAGCCAAAGTATGAAAGTTCTGCACCAGCCCCAACAGCAGAGCCTGCCAAAGAGCCCGTCTCTGAAAACGCAATGGAGGTTGAAGCTGGACCCGTAGCAGAAACAGTTTCTCAGTCGAGCGTAGAAAGAAGTTACATTCCTACAACCCAGGGCCATAACAATACAGATCCTTCTGTACCTGAAGAGGCTTCTGCTTATCCTGTCTCTTGCGCTGGCGGAGTTGTCACAACCGTGACGGTTTCTGGTCGAGACCCTAGGACAGCAATGAGCAGCTCCTCTGGCATTGCAGCGCCAGCCCTGCGCTCTGCTCCTGCATCCGACAAAGTTTCAACAGGAGAAACAAAACAGGAAACTTCAAAACCAGTTATGACTGTCCCCAAATCAATACTAACAAAGCCATCATCCTCACTAGATACAAGATACTTGCCAGTTCATCATTCACCCAATATCAAGTGCGTATACTTAATAGTAAGCCAAGCTACCGAATCTGATGCATATTGTTCACTCAATTAGTGGGAAATATATAATTCAGATGAGTTTGTTACAGAGTCAGAATCACAACAGTTATAATGCTAACCTAATTTTATGAAAGTCATCTCTTTTGGTGTCATTTTGCCTGTCTGCAGCTACAAGTTTATTTTCTGTTACTTCTTGCTTTTTTCACTAAAAACAAGTTAATGGAAAATATTAACAAAGCATTTAGTAAAAATTCTGTTATTTGTTTAAAATAAAGTATTTGATCAATAGGAGGAGGGAAGAAAAGAAAAAAAGAAGGGGACCATTCTTATTTGTATGCTGTAACCTTTCTGTTTTGGATTTGTTTTGCAGTGTTCCAGACACACGCTCACCTCAAGACACCGATACTTCCCTCTTTCTCTCTCGTCTCAACACCATTTGGAAAGGTTTTATTAACATGCAAAGTGTGGCCAAATTTGTCACTAAAGCCTATCCTGTCTCCGGGTGCTTTGATTATCTCAGTGAGGTTAGCACTGACACGTTCATCTGTTCTGCAGCTCCTGTTGCTAGAAAGGCTGGGGTCACTGTACATATTGTTCTGTTGAAACTGTCGCAGTGGTAAATGGCATCCTTTTAGGAATAGGAAAAGTAGCTCAAGAAAACAAAAAAAAAAGCCTTTGAAAAATTCCTCACAAATTTGTGAAGAATTCTTATGTCTTTAAACATATTTGTACATGTTAGGATCTACCATGGGATAATAGCTTTTCCTGAAGAAGTGCCTTTTATGTGCCTTGGGAAGTTTCAAACACAAATGTGTGGGTTAGGGCTTTTCTTAGTAGGATTGGTGGTTCTTTTTGGTATTACTTTTGCTAAAATGGGTTTCACTGTCCTAATGACAGGAAGCTCACTAGAATTCATGTGACTTGTAGTCACGAGTGCAGCATTTCCTGAGAAACTGAAAGTGTGCAGAAAATGGTGTTTCAGATAGCAGCTTCCCTATAAAAACAAAGTCAATAATGGGCATATAGAAATATTTGACATTTTGGTGCTCTCCTTGTTTGGGAATGCCTTTTCTGTTCCATGTATACTGTTAGCCTTTTGGTAACATGCCATAATTAAACATCTTGAAATTTAGAAATAGCCTGTCTGAAATTAGAAAAGTCTGTATGAAAATTTACTAGAATATTGCATTACTGACTAGGCTAGTGGGATGGGGCAGCTGCACTGCTTTTAAACATGAGTCTCTTTTGGTTCTTCTCATGCTTCCATTTAATGCTTCTTGTTTAGGATTTACCAGATACAATTCATATTGGTGGGAGGATCTCGCCGAAGACAGTCTGGGATTATGTTGGCAAACTCAAATCTTCACTTTCTAAGGTATTCCCTTAAAATCCTTTGCAAAACCCAGAAGAAAAATACAGCAATATAAAATGACAGCTTTTTATAATATAAATTAGTAAACAGCAAATACTGATATAGATCACAGCTGGAAAATTACCGACAGCACTAATTGCTCTGAAATTTTTGATTTATTGAAGAAACATGTTTATTGAGCTGCAGATCCTCTTGATCTCTCTCTCCTGCATAGTAGTTAAATCTTCATGCTATTTATTCATTTTTAATGATTGAACATAAATAATCTATTCAGTATTGAAGATTGAAATTAAAATTTTAAAGAAAAGGAACTTATCATTAAGTGTATGTAATAGATCTTGCTATTAAAAACACTTCAGAAGTGAAAAAATGGTCCACAGTGTACAGATATAATAATGAAACAAAGACTTTTCCATTTCTTTCATATTAATTTGAGCCTCAAGATGTTTAGTTTGTTGTAAGATACAAAAGTAATTTGTATTTCTGAAAATGACAAACCTAGTTCTGCTTTAATATTACGAACTGAACAACAGTACTCACTTAAAGCTAGAGTACTGCCTTGTAAACAGTTGGAACCACGAATGTTCAATTTAGTTTTACCCCTGGAATTTGCCCTTTACCATTTTATTTGCTGCTATGTTGCAGGTTGAATTTTTTCCACTTTGCTTTTGCATTACAGGAATTGTGTTTGATTCGTTTCCATCCTGCAACAGAAGAAGAAGAAGTTGCCTATATCTCTCTCTACTCCTATTTTAGCAGTCGTGGTCGTTTTGGTGTTGTAGCTAATAACAACAGACATGTCAAGGATCTCTACCTGATCCCCCTGAGTTCTAAGGACCCAATTCCTTCCAAACTCTTGCCTTTTGAGGGACCAGGTAAGCACAAAACAGGGGAGGTGAAATGCTAGGTAAAATCACAAAAGTCAAACAAGTTGTTGTTGAATGTTTAATGTAAGCGTTATTAAATTTATTTTATAAAAAACCAATTTTAAATTATGTAAATAGGGAAAAATTGGAAATCCAACTCTATTTGGGATAAAATTGTCTGAAATTTACACAGCCTTTTCAACAAGATGCCCATAATGCTATTAGGAGGATGAGTTTACCTGTAAAATCAGGTATGTGGAACAGCCACTGTATTGAAAAAAAAAAAAAAACCCAACAAAAAACCCCTACCCTATATTCAGCAGCCCAAAAATCCACAAAACCTAGGCCCTTACAAGCCATTCACCGTTGCTTAAATCAAGCAGGAAACTTAGCCCACAGAAGAGTCAAGAAGTCTATGAAGGTAATATTTATAGTGGTTTCACTCCATTATAATTCTCATGTGGTAAGTATTATACTGTACGTGCAATATGGAGCACAAGGTGTTTGAAATGTTTTGTTCTATGTGGCGCAAAGTCTAGCCAAACCACTGACTTCTGAAAACTCCGCCAGCTTATTGCAAAAGTTTTCCAAAACTGGAGGGAATTGCTCCGAAGAAATACAGGTATCATTTGCAGGCATTGTTCATGGAGGCAAGTTTTATAAGTCAGGTTTTCAAACTGAAATACCTTTTTGTAGGCAAAGTGAATTAAAGGATAGCAATAGAAACAAGGTTCCAAAGGCAGAGAGGGCAGATGGTGTAACAGATTCATAAAAGACGCGCTTAGACTTCTGCCATCAACTCACGTGTCTTGGAAACCTCTATAGCAGCCTTTACCTCGTAGTTGTGCTAAGTTGCGTTCATATTTTAAAATGAGAATCCAGTATGGGGACAAAACAATCAGGTAAGCTGTTCTTCTGGTTTTGTGTATGTATTAAAACCACAGCATAAAAGACATGTAACCCATACTTTTTAATGACATCTGATGGAATTTACTGCTTTTTCTTTCTTGCACAATCAATAAAAAGATTTTATGGAAAGTGGTCATTGTCTTCTTAAATTTAATCGTGTACTGTCAAATACACTTTTGCAAGGACTGGAAAAGCATTATGCTCCAGATATAGCTTAAAACGATTTGATAAATATGACTGGAAGGGGGAGGCGGGAGAGGACAATAAAACCCAGCCACTCCAGAAATCCTAGTTAGAAGATATTCCAGCTGTATCAGGCAGTTCTATCAGGCACATGTGGATTATGAATTTCTCCTGTTTTCTGATGGACTGGATTTGGAACACAACTGAGGACTTCTGAACTGCGCTTGCACCTAGAAGATCTTCAAAAAAGTTTGACCTGGGTGATTTAAAAATAGGGGAAAATAGAAGGCTATCCATATTTATACTTAATTCACCTCAGACATTTATTTCCAGATTTTATCTATCAGTGGGCTCTTCTGCATCGTCTTCTTGCAATGGTTCACTGTCTGTGAATTCAGTTTCACATACACACACATGATTTAGCACTTTCATCTGCAGATTTCAAAGCACTTTGTAAAAAATAGTATAATCAGTCTTAATGACCAATAGAAAGTGATTTATTGAGGGATTTAGTGGCAACTTCGGGAATGTAACAAGTACCTTATATAGTTAATTTTAATAAATCCACCATATATCAGCAAAGGATTCCACAAATCTTGATACATCTTTTTTGGTAGTTTACAATAGGAAGTGTGTTTTTTCTCAAAGTATTAAGGCATGAAATCTCCTCATGCTGTTTAGAATGCTCTTAAAAATGGAACAAAATTTTAACTGTACTCTTGAATGGAGTGAGGTGCCTTCATCTCAGCAGATATCATCACAAAAAGCAGCAGTAGTAGAAAACCACGGCATTACAGACCTTATTTTCTGTGCCAGCCAATTCCACTCAGCAAGTGCACCCTAACGTGCAGCAGTGGTACAGCGCTGGAAGCGATCGACATCCCTGAGTTCAGGGTGCCCAACTTTGCTGATAGTTGTCATAGCTCCCATGATTAATTGGGACAAATATTTAAAGGGCGTTGATAACATTTAAAGACTGTCTCGAATTGGTCTCTGCAGTTTAAAAACGTACACTGTGGGTGTGCTTAGTCCATTCCTGGGGTTTTGTCGTTGATTTACACAAATTAGGCATGTGGCTTTAACAGTACAGGTAACTTCTTACCAGCTGGTAATGACAGGGAAAGATACTGCCATGCTCTACAGAAATATGGTAAAATGGATTTAATGAAAAAATGTATTAAGGGTAAGAAAAATATTTGGTCAATACTTAGTATCTCCTGTTTTAAATTGCTTTAGTTACAGGATGTAACTCAACAAAACTAGCATGTGGAATACCTAACAGGATAATAACTGTTTTATAAATAACTTGGCAGAGCAAGTAGCTTTCAGTGCTAAGACAGCTTGCAGCATTTTTAAAATGCATGCTTGTGAAAGACAGTCGTTGAGCAATAGCTGGAGACTGCAGCCAACGTTTTATCACCTAAAATTAGGAGCTTAACCTATTTATGGATATTGAAACAGAATGGGCCTGACCTTTGCAATGCTGTGTTGAAAACAGGCATTTAGTGTGGCATCACTTTGAGTGAATGGAGAAGCCAGGTTAGGCATCACTTCTAGTATTTGTGTAAAATTACAGTATCAAAATGTAGAATTTTAACGGAGATATTATGACTAAACTCTAAACAGATTAGAACTAACGTTATCAACTTACTACTGGAATTTATTGTCTTGAAAGTGTAGTAAAATATTTTTAATTTAGGGATTTGATCTCTGTTTCTTACAGGGATTCCAAACTGATTTTTCAGTAATTGCTGTTTATTAGGTATCCTGTCTGATAGATTTTTGAAACCCATTAATTTTAATTATTCAGTGCTTGAGATTCATTGTGACTAATTGCATAAATCACAAGTCTCTGCACGAAAGCAGATAACCAAAGCTTTAACAGCAGAAAACCAGCAAACGCCTGCTAGGAGTTTTTGGCTGAACACCAATTTGTGAGATACTCTGCACTGGTCAACACCGACCAAATGTGCAGTCATTATATACTGAGAAAGAAAAAATGCAAAGCAATCACACACAGTGAACCATTAGCAGAAACGTTCCCATCATTTGGGATGGGATTCAAGTCTGAAGCTTTCCAAAGGAGCAGTGCTGCTCACAAGGATTTTTACTTGGAGCGTCAAACTGAGTCCTGCAGCAGGGGGTTTAAAGTCACCTCGCCCTCTGCGTGCCAGGCTCGAACCCAGCCATTTTCTCCCACATGCTAAATTAACGTCTGCTTAAGCTCTCCTTTGCTTGTTTGGTGTGTTAGCTACAAGTTTCCCTGCTTCTATAACAGCTTAAAATAATGTCTAGCTGGAAAAAAAACCAAACAGAGTGGGTTACAAACTTTAATACTGTTTCCAAACACAGTTTGTTTGATGTTATCTTTTTAGCAATGACTGGTATTTGTTTAACTTAGAGATAGACAAAATATTTCTAGACTGGTGTAAATGTCAATGTAGTCTTGTAGCACAGATACCGACAGAAATGTAGTGATGCAGTTTGGCCCAAGTTTCTCACTTTTCAGTATCTCTGCGTGTACAACATATTTGCAAACTATTTAAAAGAAACTACATTATTTTTCAGGGGAAGGGATAGGGGTGGCTGAACAACAACACAAATGATGTAACAATACAAAAAATATGAAAACTTTATTTGGTTTTGAACATTGCTGAGACACTTTAATAATCATATGCGTTGCTGCAATCTTTCATTAAAATATCAAGGAAGGGATTAAACCATTTCTGTACTTATTGTATACAAATATATGTACAAAGTAAAGAAATATAGATGTATATGCTTATGGCCTAATGAAAATTGCTAATAGGTCATCTAATGGAATTTAGAAAAACTAAACTAAAACTGTATGACTTTTATAGCTGCCACTATATAAAATAAGAAGTTTCTACTGAAAGTGTAATTAAAAGTTAGTTTTTTACATATACAATCTTTGTGTTCTCTTTCAGGTCTTGAGTCATCTCGGCCAAATTTAATTCTTGGATTGGTTATCTGTCAGAAAGGGAAACGTCTTGCCACTGGCATTGAAACAGAAAAGATAGAGGAAAAGCGAAGCAGAATTCAAGCACATGAGGAAACCGAAACATCACTGTTCTCTAAAGGGCCGCTAGCTGCCTCGCAAGAGAAGAAAACTCTGAAATACACACTTTATTCAGGAGATTCAACCGTAAGTACAACACCACCTGGATCTCCTCCTCCTCCTCCTCCACCTCCGCTTCCCATTCCAGACACCTCAGCAGTTACACCTTCAGTATTAAAAATACTGTCCTCGATTAAAAGTGGAACCACAACTACTGCAACACCACCAATTTCAACCGCTGCTTCTGCAAGTGTTACAGCTACGTATTCTTCATCCTCAAAAACTGCCACACCTCTCGAGCACATCCTGCAGACACTTTTTGGAAAGAAGAAAACTTTTGAGCCTCTTGCTAAGGACTCTGAAGCTGTCCCGTCTTCAAATCAGGAAAGTCAAACTGCTGCTGATGGAGGAATGTCAGCTGTTCCTCTGTTAGACCCCATTGTGCAACAGTTTGGACAGATGTCCAAAGACAAAGCTGTAGAAGAGGAAGAGGATGACAGACCCTATGATCCTGAAGAAGAATATGGCCCAGAGAAAGCTTCTGAAATGCAGACTGGTGAAAGTGAAAAACGATATAATGTGGAAAAGCCATCTAATACGACAGAACTGGAGGATGAAGCCTATGATCCTGAAGATGAAACTATCTTGGAAGAAGCAAAAGTTACTGTTGATGATTTACCTAACAAAATGTATACAGACACTAAAAGCAGTTCTTCAGAAACGTCCGCTTCATATATGCCTGACTTATCTGCAACTTCATCCTTGGTAGAACAGCAAAAAATGTTAGAAGAATTAAACAAACAAATAGAAGAACAGAAAAGACAACTAGAGGAACAAGAAGAAGCCCTCAGACAACAAAGAGCAGCTGTTGGTGTTTCAATGGCTCATTTTTCAGTGTCTGATGCTTTAATGTCACCACCACCAAAATCTTCCCTAATGAGGACTGAATTATTCCATCAGGACCAGCAAGCTACACAAAACGTAGATTTACCTTCATCTTTAAACCAGCAAGCACAAGTTTTAAACCAGGGCTGTGACCCAAGGCAGAACAGAGATCCTCGACAAGCTAGAAGAATGGCAACAGAGACTAATGACAATGCTGATTCTCGAATAAAGCCGCAGGTGGTACAGAATGAGGTACCCACAAGAGAAATTGCTCCACCAAGTTTTCCAAATGCTTTGCAGGCTTCACTTGGTAAGGAAGATAAAACTTCAGCTTCTGCTACTCAGCCTGGTTTTAGTGGTGATAATTGGGCTTCAGGTGACATGACTTCTCTGGTGTCCCAGAAAGAGGGAAAATTTGAAAACACTGTTCAAGTTAATTTGGAAAATACGAGTCAAACAGGTTCTGGAGAACCTTCTACATCCAAACCTTTACGTAAAGTGCTGCTTCCAACACCTCCAAGTACATCTTTTCAGCCTAATTTCTCCACATCAAATGATAGTCAGTCTTTGCAAGACATGCATCAAGTATCCTGGTCAAATGAGTCTCAGGAAGTGATGGGAGGGGATTCTTTTTCAAATCCCATGTTTACTTCTCAGGAAAACGCAGCTGGTCACTTTGAACCAGAGAGGGGTCTTTCATCAATGCAATATGACGAACAAAGAAATCCTCAGTCTCATCAATTTGTAGAACAAACTGAATCTCCATCAGTTCAGAGTGAGGCCGGACCTTCCCCACAGCACTTGGAGGCTGGACCTCCATTTTCTTTGTCTGGGCAGAAAGGAGCGCCTCTAACACAAATGATGCTCAATGCACCTGGAGGACCTCATGGACCTAATTTTAGAGGACCGGCACCACAGTTCTCTGAAGAGCATGGTTCTCCAAATAATGATGGGCAAAGAGGACCTCCATCTGGAAGATTTGGAGGTCCAAAGGGTCCCATTCCTTCCTTGTTTCCTGGACCACCCTCTTTTTTTGGTGATAATAGGGGCCCTGCCCCTTCTTATCATGGTGTTCCAAGAGGAATGTCACCATCTCGATTTGAAGATCATATGGAACCTCACATGGAACAAAGGGAATTCTCAAATTCCCAGTATGATGAAATGATGGGGCCTCCAGGACAGTTTGAAGGACCAGATCCACCTCAGTTTATGGGAAACAGAGGACCTTCACCTTTTCCTTTTGGAGGTCAAAGACGACCCCCACCAGCTCAGTTTAAAGGACAGAGAGGAGGCCCTCAGTTTGGAGGACCAAGAGGTCCAGCCCCGAGTCATTTTGGGGGACCAAGAGGGCCTCACTCAAATCAATTTGAAGGGCAGAGAGGTCCAGCTCCAAATCATGTACCTGGTCCAAGAGGACTTTTGCCACAGCCATTTGAAGAACGGAGAGGGAGTCCACCACACAGATTTGCCAACCAGAGAGGTCCAGCACCTCCTCAGTTTGGAGGACCAAGAGGAGCCACACCTGCCATGTTTCCAGAAGAAGATGAACCTCCCCCTTCTAGATTTCATTTCCAAGGTCAGTCACAACAAGGCATGAAGCCGTCCCCAAGACCACTGCTGGACTTTCCAAGCCATCCACCACCCCACAGAAAAGAGATGTGGGAGGAAGCTGGACCATCTGCATCTCTTCCCAATACTTCTGGACAAGGATCAGAATTGGAAGGACAGTGGTCAGCACCTGAGTTCCGAGAAGGCAAAAATCCTGAATTTAGAGGCCAAACATTTGAAGGAAGACAGAGAGAAAGACACGAGGGAGGAAATAAAGACAAGAGTTTAGAACAGCCAGAGCCTCAGCAAGCAGATAATCGACAAGGTAGACCCTTTGAGGAAAGACGAAGGGATCGAGAACACGGCAGACCTTGGGAAAGAGACCGTGGCAGAAACTGGAATAGAGACAGGGACTGGGAGAGACACAGAGACAAGGAATGGGATAAAAACAGAGACAAAAACCAAAAAGATAGAGAGAAGGATTCAGACCGGGCTAAAGAATGGGAAAGAAACAGAGACCGAGAGAGGGCAAGAGCCAGAGAGAGAGAATCCTACCGAAGACGTGACAGGGAGCGATCACGAAGCAGAGACAGAGATCGCGACAGAGAGAAAGACAGAGACCGGGACCGAAGCAGGGAAAAAGAAAGAGGAAAAGATCGCAAAGATCGGAGTAAGAGTAGGGAAATTGTTAAAGAGATGAAGCCTGAAACACCGAAGGAAGCTCAGAAACCAACGGAAATGGAAGCTTCATCTTCCACTAATCAGTCATAGAAATATGACTGATATTGTATTTCCCATAAATAATATACTTTTACAACACAGCAAAGACTGAGTCACCATTTTCTGTATATACTGTATATTCTCACCTTTACAAAAACCCTGTTGTAAAACTAGCTTTACAAAATGTACTGACAAATTAGCAATTTTTGAACAACTGTGAATGAAAATACTCTAGAGAAAAGGCAAGACCATACTGGACTTTCACTTGCTGCATTTTGTGCATAATGTTTTTCTTATAAAAATTCACAGCGTTACCTGTACTGAAATTTTGTTTTTTCTACTTGCATCTTTATCTTAAAATTTCCATTTACAGTACAGAAATGGAAAAAGTCTAAGAAGAGCATATTGCTTTTTAAGATTATAAAGTTATGTTTTCCAGTAACTTGAATTGTAATTTTTTAAGAGAATTTAATCCAGACCCTTAGGAGCCATACCTTTACATCTCATTTACGTGATATTTTGGTGTCAAAGTTGTTCCTACAGCACACGCTTTAAAAAAAGGAGTCCACCGTTGCTGTCTCGTTTATTTTACAACAGAAGGGTCGTGTGTGTTTAGGAAAAGGCTGCAGAAGAACAGTGTTAATAATTACTTGTGACTGATGGAGGATTTGAAAACGGATTGTTATAAGCTAAAGTGCACTATCTTCCTTTTTATATACAGCTATTTTGTGTCTTGGAATCCATCTGCTAAGTGTACAGCAAAGAAACAAGTCCTACTTAGTTTTTTCATGAGGCTGGGGAGGTTTTAAATACCACATTTTTACAAATCTGTAATTAAAGAAGATACAAGAGTAGCACCTTTATAACCAGCGAAACTTATAAAAACATTAGACATTTATTTGAAAAAGGCAAAGACTACAAATGAATTGGTATACCAGAGGGAAGAAGAATAAGTCGGTTAAGTGGGCCACTAAATCTGTTACTTCAGTTGAACCGATTTAGTGGAACAATTTTTAGGTTTTGTTTTGGTTTTGCAGAATTTTGCCATAGACTTAAGAAATGTCCCCATTTTATTGTATTTTTCATTCTTTAAGTGTTTTGCTCCTTAAAAAAAAAAAAGTTAATATTTTTTGTTAGACTCTCCTTAGGCTGGTAGTGTATGTAAAACTCTCCACTGAAGAAGGTATAACAGCATTAAGCTTGAAAAGAAGAGTGGTGGTACGTCATGTTGTGATTCAAGAGGGAAGTTTTTCACTGTGAAATACATTACATTGCTACTTTTCCATGTATTCTTCAAGTAAGTAATTCTAAAGTATGAAATAAAACCCCGCTAATTTATTTGACCATGTAGATTAACAGTTGGGTAAATATTTTGATATTTTTATAAAATAGTTTTGGAAATGTAAAATGAGATTCCTGTAACCATTTGCATCTTGAAGACTACATTAGGAGTAGCATGTGTGCAATGTATCTCACTACAGATTTTACAGCTGACATCGGTGCATCTCTGAAGTCCTTATACATCAAGGATTTGCTGATTGAAATAATCAATGACCATCTGTATCCTGAACCTGTAGACAACATGTTAACATGCAGAGAGGTGGTATTAAATGCAAACATCTACCATGGTGTAAGATTTTTTTCTTAATGAGATGTTTCTAATTTAAAAACATACATAAAAGTATGCAAAAAGTGTGTTTGTTTAGGTTTACTTGATAGAAATTTCTGTAAATTGTATTTTATATGGCAAAATATACCACATTAAAATACGGGACTTCACAGGTTTTTGTTACTGTAAGTAGAATAAACATCTACAGAGAACTGTTGTCCATTTCTCAACTCTGTATGTGTGTATTATTTGCTAAATATTGCTACTTCTCAACAAGCCACAGGAGTCACCGCAAGAGATTTATGGCACACAGGTTCCATTGCCTCATTGTCTAATGAAAGATGATGTTTTGCAGGACGTCACTCTAATTCATGCTTAATTGTAGGCATTCTAAAAATCATATGAAAATCTGTGCATGTGGTTTTTCTCTCAGTTCTAAAACATTCCCTAATTTATTCTGATTTTTTAAAATTTTAATAAGGAAGTTTGTCATTTGTAGAATTTACAGCAAAAGACCTAAAGAAATGAAAAAATATTAAGTAATTCGAATCAGCTTTGAACTTAAGAAAAACTCAGTTCACACCATTTATGAATTCCTTGACTTTACATTGTTATGAAACAGATGTGTGGCTTTTTACCTTCTAGGAGACACTCCTATATCACAGATCAGTTTGAGGAACCTGTCACAATTTATGAACAGTAAATGCATCCTCCCACAGATGTAATGGCAAAAAAAAAAAAAAAAATCAACAGCATACAGACAGACACTAGTGACTTATTATTTTATTTTTTTTTAAACCACAGCTTTATATAGTTTATAATGACCTGGACTTGGATTTTGCAGGAAGGTTCCAGTGTTCTACAGTGCAGCAGACAGTAAAATCTAGGCTGAAAAGAGAAGAACAGTTTAACTCAATTTACAGAGACTAAAAGTGGCACTGGATTATTATCGTGCATTGCGAGAAAGAGAAAAATAATTCTCTGGCTTTGTTCAGACTTTCAATTCACATGAAGCAACTTACTATTTTGAGCTTTTAACTTTGTTTGTATTAAGCTAAATGAACTTTCCGAAGAGAATTTTCCTAAATTTTTATGTAAAAGCCTCTGAAAGGTCTAGAACAATATAGGCAGAAAGATTATGGCATCTATAAAAGACCGTAATATTCCAACTTTATTCTAAAGGAGAGCATGCAGAAGGAGTAGAGGAGGAAAGTGTGTATTGAGTCCAAAGTCCACAAAACTGCTTTGAAAATTTCTGCTTTTGTTTCTAGGGGAAAGTCACCGGTGTAAATGTCAGACTCTGACCATGCCTCATACAGTGTGGTACACTTTGACACGGACAACGTCTGTGCATGCTGCCTTGATTGAATACACATGTCATTAAAGAATGCAGTAAACTGATTTTATTCTTTATCCTCCTGAAGAGAATAAAGATTTCATGAAGGACTTTTTATTTTATTCTGTCTATGAGCTAGAGCAACATTTTTGTGCCTTTTGCTCTCTAGCTTGTTTCTGGAATGCATCTTCTGTAACAGGCATCTGTTTTTATGCTAAAATACATAAGCGGTAGCAGATATGTAATAGAGACCAAATGTACAAACTGCTCACGATCGCAAGGCGCCTGTTGTGGGGAGGGATTCTCTGTGGATGCCGTCGGATGGTCTCCGACGGTAGACCTGTCACCCAGGAACATTGTCATCGAATCCTGTGGTGATGCCACTCCACAGGTCCAGAAAAACTGAATATTCGTAAGGGGCTTTGGGTTAATTTTCTGGCAAAGAACAGTTTTTAAACACTGGCAAACTACTGAAGTGTTTATAATTTAGTCACTTAATCTTACAAAAGGAAATCCAGGGCTGTGCACCCACTGTAGCTGTGCAGGGGATGTGGGAAAGAGCCTCCGGGGCTGCACTTTGGTGGGGACAAAAAAGGGAAAAGCCTTTATCCTGCAGTAATGAAACAAAACACAGGCGTCAGTTTCAAACCAGTGTGGCTTTATTTCTGATAAATTGCCTTCGGCCCATCGGCGGCTGGATTACCAGCTGGGAGAGCGCCAGGCCCTCCGAGCCCTGACAGAACCGGTCTGGGGAGGGTTTTAAACCACCAGGAGTGACTGACACCACACCCCCGCTGTGTTAACAGGCCTTGCGCTCCCCTGCTCTAAAATAACTGAATCATGGCAGAAAAGCTGTGTCCCTTTTTAATGCTTTGGGTGAAAAACCCCAGTTACCGGGGAGGCTTCGCAGAGGACGGGACATGGCGACTCTGAGGGAACC